GGTTTGCCTTTTGGAGAAATCTAGGATGTCGCTGATAAGTGAACGGCTTTTAGGAATTATATTATGCCATTTTGAAAGGCAAAAGGCGAATTTAATGTCTTCTGATGAGTCATTGTTTGTTGTCACTCATTTAAAGATATTAGTAGAGCATCATTATTTGGGAGTTACATAGCAGAGGATTATAATTTGGCTCCCCAGCCATTCATATCCAAACCTGACTCATCCAGTTAACCACTTTTTCTTGTTGGTAGCTTTGTCTGAGCTAAAAACTAAATCAGATTGTCTTGGTTTTGGGTTATTATAATAAGTGTTAGAGCAATTATGTATTCTTGTCCTACAGTCATCAATTCCTACAATTACCAGAACATGAAAAATAAGTGGATATTATTTCTAAGTGTTAATGTAATTCTCATGGATCCTGTGTCTTGGAAACATAACTCATGGTGATGAATAGTTGAGAAGTGAATATAACAAAAAATAAAAAAACAAAAACAGTTCAGAGATGCGTTAACATACTTCTAGCTTTTATATATATTTTTTTCTCTTTGAGCCAGTTGTCACTGCATTTTATTCTGTCCTTTCTTTGTAGGATTTTGTGGTAAGAAATGATATGGGATGCGGATCCACCATTGGTCCAATACTTGCTTCAGGAGTTGGCATACGTACTGTTGATTGTGGCATTGCTCAGCTTTCTATGCACAGGTATCAAATTCTGCTATGTTTCTGAATTTATGAATAGGAGCTGCACAAATAATTCTCCTGTGAATGCATGGTAGGACTTGCAACATATAGGATTTATATATTGCTGCATTGGCCCTATTTATAAACATGTGTGACTCGAGAAATATACCTACAAGGTTTGACTTCTAAAACACATCTAACTAAATTTATTAATGTGGCCAGAAAAACATAAATTTATTCTTAACAAATCATCTATAACATGATAAACAGTTTAGTTCTGCAAGTCAAATGGCTTATTCAAGTGCACTTGGATGGCCAGTTTATCAAATGGGTTTAACTAAGTGTCGCACTGTTCTTAGTAAGATCTCATACGTGTCATAACCACTTGAGGCGAAAAACTTTTATATCACTTGCTTCTTCCATCGGATAAGTTGCTGTGTTCGTTTAATGCTGCTCTGTTTTTTCGTACTTTTCCTGTAGGTTTTAGTTATATTCCTTCTCATGATTTGCATTTTTGCAGTGTGAGAGAAGTATGTGGGAAGGAAGATATAGACATTGCTTACAAACACTTCAAGGCATTTTACCGAACTTTCTCCAGCATAGACAGGAAGCTGATTGTGGACTAATTGTGTTAACTAATATTAGAGAGAATAGAAAGTTAACATAATCGTGTCGTTCATATTTTGGTGCTCAGAACTTCATTATTCAAATAAACCAATATTCTTTTCTTCCTCCAATGTAGAAATTGCATAGATAACAGCAAAATGGTACCTGTGGTTAAAAATAAATGCAATGAATGCAGTCTTATGATTATGGTCATGGTTTGCTGGGGTCACTGTAGTTTGGGTTGGATGTGGAGCTAAGACAGGAGCCTTGTTCTGGATTGGAGCGTCCTTTGGCCACCTTTTGCTTCAACTCAGACAACAAAGCCTGGTTCTCCTGGTTCAGCTGTTGAGCCTTCCTCCTCAACCTTTCGTTTTCCTTGATTATGCAGTAGTTCTGCCAATATAGCTGTGAGTTGAGGTTTTCCATCTCCGAGCTCTTTCTGTGTAGCCCCTGAAATTATATGCGACTAAAGATGATGACTTGAGATGAATATGACAGAACTACAATCCTGAATCATATAATGAAGCCGGAAGATAAAGAGAGCAAGATTCCAGAAAACAGCTTGCATCAACATAGAAAAAACAGATAGTTTTTAGACTATTTCTACTATTTGTTTTTCTTTATGCTATGAAGGAGAAAGACGATTGAAGTTCGATTAGGTTAGAAAGAAGATGAGAGAAACAAAACCTGGAGCCCTTGAGGTGAGAGGGTTATGCAGAGTTGTAATGAAGAGGGACGGGGTTAAAGCTTTTGGTATTGGTTTTTAAATACATGTAACACGGTTGACTGGAAAATGGGAACACAACAAGGGTCTAAACTTACATGGGGCATCCAAGAACAGCAAAGACCGTCTGCAAAGCCCCCTTGTCTGCCTTTTTTCTCCAGTAGATCTTGATTATGCTGAAACTTTAACGGTTTAAAATACATGAGAGATTGAGAGAGTGGGCTTGCAAAGAAGAAGAAACTTTATTGGGTTGTTAGAAGAGTGCACGTAAAAGTGGCTGGTGTGTGTGCTATGGGTGAAAAGCAGCAGGGAAAAAGAGAGATGCTTATGGGACAAGATGAGGTATCAATGCTCAACAAGGAGAGTGATTTGCATGTGATGCTCCTATGCCTTTCTTTGTAAATGCTCTAAAAACAAGTTAAGTCGGAATCAGTCTAAATACATACAATAGATTAAAAAAAAGACACATGTTTATGAGTTTATCCAATTGCTTATCATAGCATTATACAAATTAGAAATATTGTTTAATTTACAAGTCAATTGGATATAGATCACCAAGGCCTTTTTCACTTGTTACTAATTTCAGTATTGTTGTTACATTTTAATTATTTGTTTATTTTTAATCTGTTATTTCTTTTTACATCTTCTTTTACCTTTTAGCAGCTTTTGAAATAAGGTGTGATTTAGAGATTTTATATTTAATTTTTAATATTTCATCATATATACCAGACGTATGGATATATACTTTAATTCAATCTACACAAATATACTACAAAAAATCTATTTTGTAATTTAAATGATCTATTATCTATAATATAACACAATGTATATAAATAAAAAAAGCAAGTGTTGATAAAATATTTTTAAATTTAAAAAAATTGTTTTTTGTATTTTTTAAATGCAAAAAAGAAAAGACATTCATATAACTTTTAAATAACAAAATACATGCATTTATTCATTAACCAATACTCAAATGTCATTTATTTTTAAATCGTTATATATATATATATGTTTGTTTATATATATGCACGTATGTATGCCTATAGTTTTAATAATTCTTAATATTTTTGAGTTAGTCAATTGTTGGGTGTTTTTCAATAATGGGAATTGGATTAGATTGCTATTATCTTGATAGTACGAGAGTGGATCCCAATATTTCTTTTGTTTTTTATCTTTATTATGAAACCCATATTTTTATATATGAGTAAGGTAGCGAATTAGCATGTAACAACCCTAGCTTTGATAAACACTATTTGTGGTTTGCGCTGTGTTACTTGATGAGTTAAAAATATGCATATGAGTATGGTTATGTGTTTAAGGATCTTGAAAGGTGAAATATTGGTCCAAATACATGGAATCTCCTTGTACTAGGGTGTTTTCTTCAATTAGTCCCTTTACTCAAAATCGTAACATTTTAGTTCCTTAATTTTGAAAATTGCTTAAATTTAGTCCCTCTAACATTTTTCGTTTAAATTTACCATTTTAGTACTGCCACGTCAACATGAAATGCCACATCACACTTTCAAGTTTAAGCATTGACGTGGCACTGCCAAGTCAACATTTGATATCAAGGTGCCACATGGCACCACAAGAGGTTGCCATGTGACTTTTTTATTATTCAAAGCAAGATATGCTGACATGGCATTGCCACGCCAGCATCTGATATTGAGGTGTCACATGGCACCATAAGAGGTTGCCATGTGGCACTATTATTATTCAAAACAAGACATGCTGTTTCTAAGGTTCGAAGCCAAGTAGGGATGTCAACGGGTTAGGTACTCGTTAATTTTAAGGTACTCGAACCTAACACCTATAAAAATTAAACTACCCAAACCCTATTAACTACTCGAATATTTTTTAAAATCACTATCCTAACCCTAATCCTAATACATTGCTACTATCCTATAATTATCCTAACCAGTTTAAAAACTCAATTATGTAAAAAAATTATTAAAATACTATTCATAGGTACCCAATTACTCGAATCTAAATCCCTATCCATATACAATAATATTTCTTTTATATATTCCATATAATTTACTAATAATTAAATTAATTAAAACACAAAAATAATAAAATTTAAATTTAAATAATCAAAAACAAATATCTCTAATATAATTAATAAATTTATTAGTTATAATTTTTGTAATGTTAACAT